AACCAATTGGATCTAGGTCCAATCTCTGAGGAGCAGATCAGATTCAAAAAAAACCATGAACTGGACAAATCTGGTCTGAAAACCATTAGGGGCCAATAAACATAGGACCATGGCATTCATTAGTTCCAGGTAGAACCACACTGACAAGAAACCTTTAATCAGGTATGATGTCTTTACAGACCTTGGCAAAGGTTTCTCCTGCCATTTGTAGTCTGTATAGATCACATACGATGGTACAAGCCTACATTACTTTGTTACAATATTGTGTTTCAGTTAGCATTAATTAACTACAAGCCAAGAAACAAAACGCTTGAGTTATCCTTGTAAAACACATTTACTGGAAGATGACTCTGTGCTTTCATTCACAGGAAGAAACCGAGTGTCCTTCATCTCTCTCTGTTATCAAAGAGAGGACCGCAGGTGAAACTCTAGAGGATGATTTCTTCTCACCCGATGACCTGTCTTCTGATGAAGAATATTATATCGAAGAAAGCAAAGCAACCCAGTTCAAGAAATCAGGCATGAGGCGAATAGATGATATCAAAAAGGCATTTTCAAGGGAAAATATCCAAAAGACAAGACAAAATTTTGGCAAGAAGGTAAACAGACTTCGAACTAGAATAGTGACCCCTGAGAGAAGAGAGAGGATCAGGCAGTCAGGAGAGAGACTGAAACAATCTGGGATAAGGATCAAGAAAACCATTTCACAAGCTGCCCCAACGAAGGAGGCATTCAAGATCCATAAAAAAAATAAAGAACGAACAGGAGCTGAAGGTCAGGAGGGGATCCAGGAAGCTGGTGTGCACATCGCCTCTGAGCTCGCAGCAGCAGAGCCCTTCACTGAAGAAATCTCTTACACAGAAGTGATCACTAAGGTAAAGAAAGACAAGAATAGTGCAACTAAAGGTGCCTCCCAGTCAACTGAAAAAGGAGTGATGATCCCAGAAGTCGTTCTTAAGCAGGAAGGAAAAGAAGGAGGAGGAGGTGATGATGTCCCTTTGCTAGACTTAAAGCAATCGGCATAAGGAATCGGTTAGCAAACCCACCATACTATCCTTACTGAACAAGAGATAACGCAGTATGTATTCACTCAGCTTTAGACAAATGTGTGAATTTGTGTTATATCACAAAACATGTGTTGGTGGTGTTCTCTCATTTACACGGGTGTCTGTAGTGTTGTCTTCCTGACAACAGCCAAGCCATGCAAATGGAATTAAGGGCTCCTCCTCTGTCTTGCCGGTAGCTATCATTAACCCAAATGGAACTTGCATGTCAAAGGGAGATGGAAATCTGCTGTATTTTCAAGATTGATTTAGCAGTCACTTTACAGCCTAATCACTCTAGTTTTACGTACAACAGACTAAAAACATTTTCCATTATCTTCTACCAACTCCTCTAATGACAAAACAGTAACAAAGCTGTTACTTGTATTAACAAGAGGAAGAGCTATGAAAAATGTCCATTCAGCAATACAAATCTTTTTGTTTAAGAGCCCTCACTGAAACAGTGGAACAAGGAAATTCCTGCTTTATCCAGGGTGTGACAAAATGTGGCAGGAATGATAGGGTTTTCAGTAAATTGTTTTTCTTCTCAGTGGAAAAGAGAAGCTCCTGAAATGACTAAAGATTATTTCCAGAGTTCTGGAAGGGGAAAGTTTGATGTATGTAAGCAATTAATTTTCTGTACTTATGGAGTGGAGTGAGAATAAAAAAGCAGAAGACACGTTAAATATGGAATAGCAGGAGGAAAAGAGAATGAGGTATCGTATTCATGTTATGAAAAGGCAATTGTGAGAAAGGCAAGGGTATGATGCAGTAAAAGAGGAATAAGATTAATGCATGGGTTCTGGATAAATAGAGAAAAAATTTAGAATATCGTAACTGAAGTTTCCTTGAGATCTTTTGAAGAATTGTTGCTCTATCCGGAGGATCATAGGGCTCATGAACATAACTGTCCAGACAAGGGAATTGTTTTGTTTTCCATTCTCTGTGTTTTTTTGAGCTTCATTGCAATTAAAAACTACTCTACAAAGCCGCTGAAGTACAGGGCCAATCCATAACCCAGTTCTTTGTTTCCTATCATCATCGCTATTGACCAGCCACAGCCTCAGGGATTATGAGACAGACACCCTTTGGAGTATGGAATGCTGTTACAGGAGCCAGTGCCCTGACATCAGAGATGTTTGTAAACATGGCCGCTGTTCTGACATGGGGTGCAGGACTGTATTGCTCTCCTCATCTTAAACAGAGTTGCCTTCAAAGCACTTAATTACCTAAAGCAATGTTAGCCGCTACTATCTGTGTGAAACTTGTGCAATATTGCCGAAAGATGGATGATTGTATTTAATATCTCAGATTCATTTTAACAGCAGAGCATAACTTGGTTGTCTATATACATTGTTTGAGGACTCCCAGCTAATTGTTAATCTATAATTTAAATATAATTAGTTTGATTTCAAATATTCTGCCTGACAGTTCTTTCATTTAGTCTGGTGTACATCACATTTGAAGTGAATATTAACTAGGGAACACTGGTTGGGAAAGGTCAATGTTATACTATGTCAGTGACATTTCAAATCAAATTAATGTTGTCAGATTGGAAGCAGCAACTCCACTGAATGGGGGCAGGATAGGGCAAGAGAGGGAGACAGGGAGAGGAACACATTTCTTTCAACAGTAAATCGTATGTCTCTGCTGTACTGTAATTACATGCAAAAAGAAAAAAAAAAGGTTTTGCTTAGAGGATAGATTGGAGGGTTTGGTTGGTTGGTTTTTTACTAGTTATAGGAAGCCTTTTCTGGGACCAGGCGACTGTATGATCTTCTTCCAGTTCTGTAGAAATCTGTAGCTATCTTCAGTGAAGCACTGTGTGATTTGTCTGGTTCTTCTGTAATATGGCCTGCATTCTGTTCTGCAAGATTTGATGTTTTCCTAAACTGACAAACAGGGTTTAGTTATTGAAATGAAAATGTCAACATTCAAAGAAGCTATTTCTTTGCATTTTTATACAGCAGAACACGAAGTGCTAGAACATAATTGCCTGTAGATTTTTTTTATATAGCATTTAATTTTCTCATTTTGCTTGACAAAGAAAGGAAGTGATGCAGTTTCCATGGAGCTTATCATGCAGAACCACATATAACCTCTATCAAATATGTATTTTTAATGTTTACTTCTAACTTCAATTGTTAGAAGGGAATGATTTGTTTTCACAGGAAGTAGTGAGTTCTTCAGGTGTGCAAAGTATTTCAATGTATGCTCTTCATTTTAAGTTACTATCAATGTTACTGGCTTGAATTTTACAGGTACCAAGAGATCAAAGTTAATTTACTCCGTATCCCCTCATACAGGCAGAGGATGGGGAGAACACTGTGGGTTACAACCTCAATTTCTATACAATAGCACAGCCTTTTCCTGCCTGAAGTCCCCCTTATCTTTTTCATAATTTCCAAGAGCAATGATCTTGAAGCCCAGTCCTTCACCCTTCTCAGAAACAAAATTCTCAATGAAATCAGTTGATGTACAGCTGTACTGCGTGGAGGCCTGGTGTATATTTTTTGAACAGGTGGTTTCACTTGGTAAGATAATCTTTCCGGCACTGTGTGAGAAACAAGTGCTGCTCCCGGCTCAGTGAGAGAAAGGGACCCTGCCCCTGCCTGCTCTGTTTTCCAAGAACAAATCTGGCACTTTCTGCTTCATTGTGGGTGGGAGTGTGAATATCAAACTTCCTCACAGAAACAGCCCTGCAATTGCTAACTGCAGAGTAAAAATGGCTATGGGAAAGGATGAACTACTTCCTTAGACATCAGCTGAAAAGAAATTGAAGTGTTTATGCAAAAATTGAAAGTGTTTACAGGGAGAAAAAAGTGATTAACAAAGACTTCACTGCAAGTCCTTCTTTCATAACATCCAACAGCAATTTCTTTTGCCTTGAATTTGTGCTAGCGAAAAAAGCCAAACGTTTTCTGCCAATAGTTGTCTGTCTATTAAATAAAGAGCAGTAGCAATCGCCCTTCAATTACAGGGTAGACAGCAATGGTGGTAACACACAAAAATGACTTTAACCATTTCAGGTGAATCTACTCCCAGAAATGGCTTTTGTGTTTTCTATTTTTTTTTTTACCTAAACTGATGCAAAATGCAGAATAAAAAACAGTTAAGAGGTTTGAGTTTGCAGGATTCAAGCAGTAATGCCAATGGAGTGAATACAAATAGAGCCAAACTGGTGTTCAGATGTATTTACTCCGAGAAAAGTTCCAAAACTTCTTGCTCGCTGATAATGGAGCATGTACACATCTTCCTTACAATGGGATATAGGTTTAGAAAAGAGTTAATATGTGCAAAGGCCACTACTTGTGCAAAGATAAACTTGCCTGTTTGTACAACTTCTATGATAGTTGCATAAACAAGAGACTATTCAAGGAAATGGTAGCATCCATTTGTAAAACCACCTAGTAAGCTTACAAATGAAAAATCAAAGGAACTGTGCATTGGAATATATGCAGATAAACATAAAGTTCTACCGTACATTTAATTCACTTGTCATTACAGCTTTAATAATGCTATGGATGAAAAGTTTTTAATTACAAAGTTGAATTTTAAAATAATTATATTATATTATGAAAAAGCCTTGTATTAAGAAGAAAAGATAACATCTACAAAAGAACCACCATAAATGTTAGAGCAGTTGTCACTATCATAAGCACTTTTTTCCTAGTGAGTCCATTATGAGGAAGCTAGTTCATTATATTCTCACTTGCTTTATAACAGCTGCCAAATTTTACACCCACAACTGTTTTCCCTCTGATATTCCCAGGATAAATGCATTTAGTATTTTTGCTGTGAACAGAGTCAACTGATCTATGTGCAGTTAACACAATCTCTATACATTACACACTAATTCCCGTATCCCTGTGAGAACGTAGCTACCACTTTTTCACAGCAACAATGAAAGTCCTACTGTCTGCAGTTTAATCTTTCTAGGTGCTTCTTTTTTAACAGCTATCTGTCCTTATTTTGAACTGCAGAGCAGTGCGACCCCCCGTAAAGTCCAATGATCAGGATTCTGCACTGTTTTCAGATACAGAGAGAAAATGTACGTCAGATCTGTTCTCCGGGGCTTTTTGTAGACGGGGCAGGAGTACACACTTCCTTGTTGCTTCTTTGGGTCATGTAGCGCTGCCGTGCTAACAGCATACACGTGGACTACAGGAAGACTGGTGAACAGCACCTGAAAACGTTGAGAGAGACACGGGGCTCAGCATTAGAGAAGCAGGATAGGGTGTCTGAACTCCCAACACGAGAGCTAGATTCAGTGATGGCCTTTGGCAAAAGCACCAGCACCTCAGCAGAGGTACATGCGAGAACACAAGTCCTATGCTCGCTACTACGCTGACCCTAACTTTAAGCCAGTGGCCACTCGGGGAAAACAGACGTCAGGAAGCCTGGAAGGAAAAGAAAGCAGCAGAAACCTGGAAAACTGCACATCACGGAAGTAGATGGAAAAACGACAGCGTGGCTCTAGGAGGGAGAGAGACCGTTGACTTTTTTCCTATCCTTTGCCCCTTTGGCTCGTGTTCCCCATTCTTTCCCCACCTTCTGTTCCCTGAACGGCAGGACTGGAGCTACAAAGGCCAAGCTGCATTTAGCAAGCCTCCTTGTTACCTCTGCACTGCTGGCAGTGGAGCTTCAAATATCCAAGGTGCCTCTTGGGTGTTTTTCCAGACTAGACCACCTCAGGTCTTCCAGCAATATAAAGTATTCATTGGCAGGTGGGAAAAAAAAAGACCCAAACCCAAGAGCAGCATGGAGGCTTGTTGAACACTGCAGAGCACTTGAGTAAACTCCGTGTTTGAAGGTGTCTTTTCACAAACCAGGCAACAGAAGCTACAGCTGGCAAGGTTTGGTTTGGCAAAGTTTGCTCTCAGGCAGACACAGAAGTGTTTTACCTGATTGGAATTACCTCAGCTCCAATTCCAGGACAGTTACCACTGGTTTGGAAGAAGTTTAACAATGCAGACAACGGTAGCTTTCCCTGGACAGTGACCAGAGCATCTAGTCACTACTCCATAGCTCGATTTTAAATCTGCTTAGTCACATCAGCAAAATGTAACTCCATGCATGGATAACTGCGCATAAGCCCAGAACTAATACTCTTTCTTCTATTCAAAAATCAATGCCGGGGATTTCTAGTGAACCAAACACTGACCTCCAGAGAAGCTGTCATCAAATCCAGTTCCTGGGCTTTGGAAGTTGCGATAGTGTCCCACTTGGTCAGTCAAAAGAAGGCTGACTATGGGTTGCACTATTTTATTCAAACACAGCTGTGCCTTTAGGGCCCCTGAAGCCAAGAAGCCCAGCATCTGGTCTGCTCTAGTGCAGTGCATCCTAAATTCATTTTCTGATAGAAGTCTTTTTGTTTGGTTCTGGTGAGTAAACACTCTGTCCTCTTCCCAGCCCTGCTAGTGTTTTAGCCTCTTAAAACCTGTTGTGAAACCACTGCTGCAGGCATTCAAAATACTTCCCAGTGTTCTCTGAGCACACCGTATTATGCCACAGTCAGTCATGCTCACTTGATCCTTACCTTTGGTGCTGACTCGACCAGCTTACTGTTTCTGCGGTCCCAACCTGCCCCTTCGAGGAAAAGGCCATATATATAAACCCCACCAATGTCAGCAGGAGGAGGACCAACAACATCTTCTTTCATCATCTTGGTCACTTCATTGTGTAAAACAACACTGTCGAGTGCCCACCCTTTTGCTAAATTCATGCGAGTCGTCTCTTGCCTCATAGCAGTTAGGAATCCCTAAGGAGATTGAATATGACATAGAGGGTTTAAAAAAAAAGTGAATTCACCCATTTCCAACTTTTTTCCTATATAAGTGACATCAGCAGTATAGAACCTCACCCCACAGAATCTCATGTACATATAAAAATAAATCCAGTAGTGTAAATCCAATGCTTTCCTACACTTTCCCAGTACCATGCATTCTTATGGTCTGCATGTGTTGGTGCTAAGGAACCACCAAGTTGGCTTATTTAACATATCAGAAGCTGCATGTGTGACTCACCTCACCTCACATGCCTACTTTACAACCAGCCAGATGGAGAGAGTTTTACAAGACTGCCAGATTAATGTGTTTTGTGAGGCTCCAAATACAGGTAATTGCTAAGCCACATATATCACTGGTATTTTGTGTGCTATATTACTCACCTTTTCTTATACCAACATTGTAAAAACGCTTTTCAGTCAACAAATCACAAAGCATTTTACAGAACACAAAGGAAGTACCAACTGGAATCATGCAATTAAATAGTGAAATGCCTCTGTAACTTTGCTCAGTGAAAAGCCTTAATATACTACAATAACATACTACTGTAGACACCAGCAAGATAAACTCCCAGCACTTCTGCAGCAGTTAGAATGAAACAAACTTTCTGTTCTGAAGAGCTACAACCCCATGACACGGTTATGAGCTATGACAAAACAAGCCAGGCTGAAGATGGTGGTTAGCTTCTCTCATGTAACTGTCCATGCGCACGCCCACCGCAGTACAGGGGAAGCGCCTTAGTCCTAGGAGGCAGGAGGGAAGACTGCTTCGCACTTCCAGTGGACATGCTGTAGATGTACACCTTATTTTACCTTATGGAAACCCATTTGCATAGCCGGGAGATGAATGAATAAAACACGAAAATTGAAGATGCAAGAGCAAGGGGGCCTTATGGAGAAGGACAACTAGGAAGGAAGAAGTTTCAGGACAGATTTCAGAGCAGAGAAAGAAGGTATCTGGAGACAGAGATGGGGGAATAGAGAGCCACATGGGGAACACACAAAGGTGGGTATGAGAAAGTCAACAGCACAGCTAGGAAGAAATCAGGAGCAATGAGGGAATTGAACAAGCTTTTTATTTTTCTTCAATATTCACAGTGCAGAATGATCTGTTGAGTTACTGTTAGGGCCAAATGAATGGAAAGAAGTCCAATGAGGAAACATTAGCACGTTGGTCTACTGAATGCCAGGGCCAAACCCTGGCTGCTGGGACTGGCGTGCTTGTTGCACGTGCTAAGCACTTTGTAGCTATGCAATACCCTTTCAGTTATGAGAACATGAGATGACATTCATGAACTCAGATGTTTCAGTTAAGTGACATTGGTTACTTCTCATTAATATCATTCCAGACACCCCAGGACAAGTGTTTTAAAGAGGTTTTTTGATAGCACAGGTAATTGTAATTGCGTTTGAAGTAGTTGAGAACTCTAGCATAGAGCTGAGGGAGATAGGATTAAAGGCCAAGTTCTTCTGTCAGAAATGCCATTAAAGGAAAGGAGAATCGTTGTACTTAATTTGTGGAATTTTAATTTATAGAAACATGCTAGAACCAATAGTTTAAAGTACATGAAGTATTCACTGCCAGAAGGCCCCAGAGGGCCACTGGATCCCAGATAAACTGAAATATTAAAGAAAGAAGAGCCTGAAGAGGACAGGACAGAGCAATGAATGTATTAAGGGAATCAGTTCAAAGGCACTAGGGAAACACTGGAACAAAAGTAAGCTCAGAGCTCTGTGAGTTGTCTTCGGGGATAAGATGTAGATTGCAGACTGTTCTTACAGAGATGGCAGGACCTATACACTGTCTGCAGAGGGCCTTATAGCACTTATCTGCTCATTTCAGTGAATCCTAGACAGCGTTTAAAGACTACAGCTGTGAGCTGGAGGCCCAGCTGGGTACCCCAGAGCTGGTGAATGGCACAATAAACAGCAAGAAAGAATCAAGTGGCTTGAGGTGCCACTGTATGGCTGAGCGCTTGGCTTTCCCCAACACCCTCTATCAGAGACGTAATGGACCACTGGCCGTGACATTTGCTGTGATTTCTAGTAATCTTTACTTCGGGGTTTTTTTTTGCGGGGAGGGCATGTTGAGATTTCAGAAACAGGGAAAATTATTTCTTCTTTCTTCACCTGCCTTTTCCTGAACTTCTCCCTGTCCTGCTCACTGAAGGCTTGCTAAAGCTTTGTCCCTCTGCCTTCTATCAACCCACACAAAGTAACTCTGAGTCTTCTAGTGAGGGAGAAGCAGGCATCCATGGAAGCTATGACAAGAAATATGGAAATCAGTTAAGTCTATTGCTTTCACCATCATATTCTCTCCTTTACCCTACTTAGGGGGGTCCCTGTTTGTCACTTACTTTGCACTTTCTACAGCAAGGAAATTATGGCAGGTTTACTAGAATTAAGTAGGCACTGAGGAATAGAGGCATTGTACTTCATATTCTTATTAGTATTCACATTGCTTTGGCATCTAAGGGTCTTAGAAATAGGCTGAGGGTTCATTATGCTGAGTACTATGCAGCCAGAAAGACAGTTCTGCTTCACAGGGCTTAAAATCCATATATAGGACAAGTGACAGAAACTGGATACAGAGATGCAAACAAGGAAAAAATGAAACAGTATCAGCCACAATATGGAAATTGAGAAGTAGAAATTAGATATGCGTAGTGTCAAGCTTTTTGAGGAAAAAATCAAGTAACATCAGATTAGCTTCCAGGAGTGAAGAAAATTCAGGCACTTCTTGTTTTGTTCACCCCAGTTATCTTGGCCCAGTGCAGACACACAGAAGGAATGGGGTTTCTTTTGCGTAGAAGCCTGAGTATTCTCTCATTTGTATCACTATAAATAAAGATTAATGTCTGTGAAATTACTGAATTTATCCTAGTGTATAAATGGTCCAAGAGAAGGCAGAGTTAGGTCCTATATTATTTTTTATTGCCAGAATGCCTCATCTTCCCAGTGCTATAAATCTACTTTATTGTCTTGTGTTATCCATGACATTTATCCATTGATTATAAAGCAAACAGTGACATCTATGCAAGTAGGCAAATTACAAATTATTTAGGAGCTGCATTTCATCTTACAAATGAAAGGATTTTTCCTGACAATTCCTCAGGTATTACAAACAAGCCATTAGAACTGCAGCACTAACACTTCATCACCTCAACTTGCTTGAGAAGGTAAAAATCAATTTTCTTAGCATATGAAATACTGATTTTAAACACACCAATATGACTATTAACAAAATAATAATTAATTAAATAGAAAAGGAGTCTTTGCTCCAGTGAATTTTTTGTAGAAAGAGCCACTCCCACAGCCAGGGTTACAGAAAATGGAGACTATAACAGCAACCATCTGATTCTTACGCTTGTGATTGTCAGCACAAATAAATTTTTAAATCAGGTAAGCACATCTCATTCTTAAAAAACACTCATTTTTTCTCTGCACGCTATGTATTTAGGGACTTTCAGAACTACGTGTTATGAAGTGTTTAATGTTTGTAGTTCTAGACACTTTCTCACTTACTATGGTCTATTAAATCACAGATTGTTTGGGGATATTTTACTCTAATTATTTGGAATCTTTTTTGGGAAGTCCAGATGTATGGATACAAAAAAATGTAGGATGCCCAATTTGATCTGGCAAAATTTCAGAACTGACACAACCCCAAAGCACAAAAAAGCCAGCTAAAATGGCCAGTACAAAACCTGTAGCAGCTCTTGGCTCATCTGTAGTGCAAAAGCAAACACCAACAAAACCAAAAGCCTATTAGGATTGCATCCAGCCTGATCATTGCAAGTTACTTAGGAATATTTGAGAGTGCCACTATCAATGTGTTGCTAACAAACCAACTATGGAAGCATAATCATTTTATTAAAACACCTACTCCTCTCCCTCATACTTTTGCTTGGGAACCCTTTGCTCAGGGATTCTGTGAGCACACTTCCATGCCATAAAGTAGTATCAGCAGACAGCTGGCAGAGACAGGATAGATGATAGATGGATATTTCCCAGCAGTAGTCCTAGAGAATATTTGCCACTGTTGCTTTCTCTATTCTAGGCAGCTGTTTCAGCTAGCTTTTGCATTGCTAACAAGTACTGAGATTAAAATAGATCTTTAAAATAGCTTTTTGCTAAGGCTTCACAGAAACCTGTCGGCTGAATACTCTCACAATGACTCACTTCCACAACTCGCACTTCCCACAAACATCTGTGAATCATAAACAGCTTTAATGAATGTGCATAGCTGTACAAAGAAACTACACATCATCTAGGTATGTATACTTTACTTCTTTTAACTCTGTTCTCAGCTGTTCCCTTTTTTGTGTTTTATTTTGTGCCAGGTTTTTATTTTAGATCATGCAGGCAAGAGGCTGTATTTTTTATATGTCTCTGCAGACCAAGTCTGGCACAGTTCTGGGGTGGTATACATAACAAACCTTCCATTTCAAGGAACTGATCTGCAAGAATTGAGAGCGAAGTCCAGATCTTTTCTTCCTATGTCAAAGCTTTGAAATTTATCTCTTTAGTCCTCAAAGGGATTTTCATACAATGAATGAAAAACATTACTCTAACAGAGGAGGGGAAAAAAGAAGGATAACGTTGACATGTGAAAAGGTGTACCTACCCAATTTCCACACTATAATTAAAGCAACCAGAATATGCATTCCATTATTTCAGTAACATTATTTTCATCTGGCAAAAATGTCTTCAATAGATGTTGAAGTTAATTTATCATACATTTATGCTAAAAATTGAATTTAGATTACATTTTGTATAGTCACAATTGAGTCAGCCTGAAGTTCTCTCAAGGTCTAATTTAACTGTTACATAGGGGTTAGAAAGATCAATCTGTCAAGCTTACCTGTGGATTAAAGAATCCTGCCATCCAGAACTGGTTTGGTCGGCCATCCTGCAGCCAAGTGCTGAACTGCTGGTTTCTTTCAAGAAGCTCAGTAAACCAAAATCCTAAAGTAGCCGACTCCCAGGAAATCCTAAACCACAGTTTTGGAATTCTAGCATCATACATATTATCTAAAGCGTCTTGTAATTCTTCTGACATAATTATGGTTCCTGGAAGATAAGTAAAACATTCAGAATGAACTTTCCCTTAGCTTGCAAAGGCAATTAAACCTTCCAAATGACATTCTGAGTCTAATGAACCCTGTTTTGTTGTGCCTTAATTGCACATCTGTTGCACTAAAGTCTTACCAGTTTGCAGTTAATTTGCTCAAACTCATAAGACTTGATTCAAAGCTAAAGGTGACAAGGTAAGTGATATTTCTGTTATTTTGATCAGAAATAAAGGGGTTTTTTAAACAACTCCTGCTACCTCACAATATTTATATTCATTATATTCATGCTGTTTGGAATGTATTTAATAATATAAAACTTTTTAATATATTTTAATCATTCCTACATACATGAGCAATGATAAAGATATACTGTGTAACTCATCTATATCCTAAGCATGTACTGACAGTGATTATATTAATGAAATTCACTCTTATTAATGATAACTTTGTACATTTCCATTATCAAGATTCTCAATGGGAAAGCAGTACATAGAATAAAGCTAGAGGCAAGTTTTTCTTTTTTTTTTTTTTTGCGTTGGTAGTGCATACTCACATATTCCATCCATAGTACTGTTGTCTCCGTTAAAATACTGGCATTGACTAAGACAGTGATTTTTCAGTGACATGCACTACCTAGCAGATAATGACCTGCTCACATGTATATTCACCTCTTTTTGTCCAACAAATGCTACGAGAAAACCGTCAACTTTTACGAAACTGCAAATATTAAAAAATACTGCCTATCCAGCATTCTCTGTAATGGCTTCATAGTCAGGTTCAGAATCATGTTTTGGGATAGCTAGCAGTCTTTTATAATGCAATTAATAAACCTTCTCTTTGGGTATAAATCTTCTTTAACATATAATGAAGAGAACCAACATTTAAGAAAGAAGCCACTCTATGTCATCTCCCCTTTGCCTAGAAAAATGTAGTATTACACCATACACTTTATTCACCCTCTGGAGGCAGAAAAAGTGAAAAAAAGTCATGCAACGCATGTGGTTTCAACTTCGGAGCAACTGTAGTGAGGGCAGAAAAGAAGTGAAGACCGTCCCGTTTGAGCCTCGGGGATCGTTACCATTTGAACTAAGAAAGAACGGACCCTTTCATCTCTAGTTCTTCTTTTCAGGCCGATGCAGCCAACTTTATCCTGAAACAAGGGTTGTGAGAGCGCCACATTTTCTTCTCTATTCTTGTGGGCAGGCTGGAGCTTTTCAAAGAGGGAGATACAACCAGTCCCTGCCCTGAAGCATGGTGAAATCTCTTAGGATGTCTGCCCGTTATGACTCAGAGCAGCTGCTGAGAATGCTAAGCCAGAGTGTTCTTGAGGATGAGTTATGTTCAGAGTTCTGGCCTTGCCCATATAGCTGCATAAATATTTCTAGTGAGTGGGTGTCATCTCTGGCAATAGGCATACAGTGCTTGAATTTCAGCACTAAATGACATCTGTGGGTGTTGGGATGCATTCCTG